TAAGGAACAGGATAGGACAAGGTTCTGATTAGTTGTTCAGGGGTCACTATGAGTTGTTGAGTTGTACTCAACTTAGGGCACCAACAACGTTTTATATAGATATGGATATAGATATTTATATATAAACTGGTTACATAATTATATGTATCAATGTGTTGTTATGTGCCATCGAGTCGTTTCCGACTCATAGCGACCCTATGCACAACAGCTCTAAACCCTGCCCTATCCTGCGCCCACCGCACCGCCTCCGACACACCCATCCCGATTACCCCAGTCACCGAATCAATCCATCTCATAGAGGGTCTTCCCCTCCTGCGCTGTCCCTCCACCCTCCCAAGCATGATGTCCCTCTCCAAGGACCCGTCCCTCCTGGCAACATGTCCAAAGTATGTCAGACGAAGCCCCAGAATCCTTGCCTCCAAGGAGCAGCTTGGTTTAATCCTCTCCAAGATGGATCTGTTTGTTTTCCTGGCAGTCCAGGGTACATTCAGTACCCTTCTCCAGCACCACAGCTCAAAAGCATCCACTCTCCTTCTGTCCTCCCTAGTCATTGTCCAACTCTCTGATGCATAACAAGCGATTGCAAATACCATGACCTGTATCAGGCGCACCTTAGTCTCCAGAGAGACGCTGTTGCTCCTGAGTACGTTTGAGAGGTCCCTAACGGCAGACTTTCCCATCGCTATACGCTTTTTGATTTCCTGACTGCTGGTACCAAGAGTGTTAACTGTGGAGCCGAGCAAAGTGAAGCTGTGAACACTCTCAATCTCTTCATCATCCATCCTGACGCTGCCAATTGGTCCAGTGGCGAGAATCTTTGTCTTCTTGACGTTGAGCCTCAGTCCATACTGAATTAAAAGATGTGTTTTATCAGACAAAGTTGCTATCAGGGACTTCTTTAAAGTGCTAAAGAACATTAATGTCAGTTTAAAGGACTAAAGTGTCCATGACCCAAGCTAGGGTTTACTTTTCATAGCTTCATATGCCTGTGAAAGTTGAACAGTGAATAAGGAAGATTGACTAATTGGTGCCTTTGTATTGTGATGTTGCTAAAGAGTGTTAAGTATCCCATGGACTGCCAAAAGAACAAACCAAACTGTCTTGGAGGAAGTGCAATCAGTTGTTCCTTAGAGGCAAGGATGGGGAAACTCCATCTTGTAAACGTTGGGCGTGTTGTCAGGAGGGGCCAATCCCTTGAAAATAAAGCATGCCAGGAAAAGTGTAGGGACAGTGAAAGAGAGAAAGACCTTCAATGAGCTGGATTGATAAAGTGGCTGCAGTAATGGGTTTGACCAGGGTATAAATTATGACAATGGCACGGGCCAGGGCAGGGTTTCCGTGTCTTGCTCATAGGGTCACTATGAATTTTAGTTGATTGGACATCACCTAACAGTAACAAATTTGTACATAGGGTAGGCGTGAATAACACGGAGCCTTAGTAGCACAATGGTCAAGTACCTAGCTATTGACCAGAAGTTTGTAATGATTTAAACCAACCCAGTAATTCTATGAAAGAAAGGCCTATAACCTGCTTCCACAAAGATTACAGCCAAAATGATTGTATGAAACACAATGTAAATGAAGAATAGTGTGAAACACAATGTGTACAAACTTTGTAAGCAAACCAATTTTTTTAAAAAAAAAAAGAATAAAAAAAAAATTACAGCCAAGAAGTCCTATGGGGCAGTTCTACTGTGTCACATGGCGTTGCTATGAGTCAGAATCAACTCAGCATTCATCGACAACATAGATGGTGCGTACTGCCAGTCAGATAGTAGGTGTTGTTGAGCCAACTTTCCCTCATAATGGTTCAGAGTGACACTATGAACAATAGATCTGAATCATGCCCTACACTGTTCCATCCTCAGGATCTTTGATATGCTCAAACCCATAGTTACAATCACTGTGTCAATACATTTAAGGGTCTTTATTTTTCTAACCCTCTTCCATTCCCAGAATGATGTAATTTTCCAAGGACTGGCCCTTCTTCACAACATGCCCAAAGTTTGCGAGATGAAGTTTCACCATCCTTGCCTCTAAGGAGCACTTGGTTGCACTTCCTCCAGAACAAACTTGTTTGTTCTTTTGGCACTTCATGAGATATTCAGTACTTCAGTCTCCTTATTCATTGTCCAAATTTCAGATGCATAGGCAGCAACTAAATTACCAAAACTTGGATCAGGTGCACCTTAGTCTTTACACTGACAACATTGCTCTTTAGCACTTTGGCAAGGTCCTTGATAATAGATTTTCCCAATTTGACACATATTTAGATTTCTTGACTGCTCCTGGCATAGGTGTTAATTGTAGATCCAGATAAAGTTATATCATTGATATTTCAAGGTTTTCTCCCTCTGTCTTGATGTTGCCTGTTAACCCATTGGTGAGGATTTTTGTTTTCTTGATGTTGAGATATAATCCAAATTGAAAACTGTAGTCTTTGATCCTCTGCAGAAAGTCCTTCAAGTCTTCTCTCACTTCCTACCACACAGAAAGTATTTTTATTCCCAGTATCAATTGCTTTGAAGAAAAGCATTCTGTCTGGTGGGGAGTATGGTAGAGGAAATAACAATTTGTGACTTGGCCCACTCCCTTTACTGTTGTGGATATTGGTGGTGAGGGTTTCAGACCATTTGTAGCCTACACTTTATACATCCCACTTGGTGCCAGCAGCACAGTATGGGAAAGCACATGGTATACGTATGTGGGGAGGCTCAGGTTCATTGATTCCTCTGGTGGCTATAAAGAGATCTTCATCCTGACAGTGCCTGTGTTGGGGGCCTGACTTGCACTTGGGATGGAAATTCCTAGAAGGGGATGTCTGTACTTTTTGCAGCATGATGAATAGCAGCAGTTCTGTTTCTGAAAGCTGGGGTGCATGTAGGTAACACCTGCCTGACAGAGATTTACAGCTACTCCCCAAGCTGTCTCTGTAGATTGCAAAACTGGGTCACTCTTTTTACTAGATCCATACCTTGGAGGAGGGTAAAGGCGGTTTTACTTGTATTTATTTATTTATTTGTAAGAATACACTAAAGGGAATGAGGGTGGTGTCTTAGGAGTTCCGAAGGGCTTGTTAACATCTAGCTGGCCAGCTGCCCATGTGACTGGAAGTTGGAGGGGATGAAAAACGATTTCCAGCTGAACTTGGCTGTTTTCTAAATAACTTCATGCCGGGAAGATGAATTGGGCAAGAATGGGTCAGCCTCGAAACAAGCTCCATACTTTTAAATACTGGACATACTGCCGCTTAACCTCTGGGAAATGAACCAGAGCAGCTGGATGGCTGGTGTGCTCACACAGGCAGGCCCGTTATTACAGCATGGCTCTCTGCGTCCTGAGGCTAGGGGACGACTGAGCCATTGCCACCTATTTGGAGAGTAAGGCTTCATGTGTAGCTCGTGATCCTTCTGTGGGAGCACTTGCTGTAATGGAAAATATCTTTCACTTTTAGTGCGTCGAGCTGTAGGCCTGACTCAATTTGTACAGTCTGGGCTGAGTTGCTTTGGGTTCTCATTCAATTAGGTGACTGATGAAGTTACTTAGCCTGCCAGAGCCCAGATTTTTTTTCTCTCTGGTAAAGTGCCTCAGATGGACAGAGCCATCCCCATGCAGGAGAAATTGGAAGCTGCCCAAGTTGATCATCAGGAGAGTTTTAATGAAGCAGATTCTGCTTTTCCATGCTACTCCCATTACCTTGAGAATCTCCTGTGGCTCCCTGGACTTCCAAGCAGTAGCTTTCTGGCTGCTGCTCAACCCTCTCTCTAGTCCATTGTCTTTACTTTGTGTCTTCCAGGAAGAAAGAGGAATAGGTTTCTGACTACGCCTCCAGAATACCATGATCACATAAATCGGTTCTTAGTCTCTGTCTTTGCTTAGAAGGAGGTTTTTCCAAGGTGTCTTTTTGGCCAGGTCAGTCACTTTTAACTCTTTTACAGCATATTCCTGTTTGTAGTCTCCATCACGAGAGAACTCAAAAACCTCAAACTTATTGCTGTGGACAACTCATAGCTGACCCTCCAGCAGTTTTTTTGGACATTGTTAATCTCAAAATTGTTGTTATTGTTAGGTGCTATAGAGTCAGGTATGACTCATAGTGACCCTTTGAACAACAGATCTGAACCCTGTCCTATCCTGTGCCATCCTCATCACCTCTGACACCCTTGAGCCCATTGCTGTAGTCACTGTGTCAGTCAATCTCATTGGGAGTCTTCTTCTCTTTTTGCTGACCCTCAAAAAAATAGATACCTCATTCTTCTCCCTCAGAGCTGCTGGTGGATTCAGACAACCAGAGAGGCATCACCTTTTGTTCACACAGCACAACTCACTGATTAGGCTACTAGAACTCCCTTCAAGAGATAAGACCTGGCCAGAAATCAAGGGAGGGTGCTTGAGAACATCACCCTCAGGCCAAAGCAGCCTTTACTCTACTTTCAACAGGGCTGTCTTGGCTTGTAGAGTAGACAAGAAGGGAATCAAACAAGCTTTGGGGGATTTGTTAGCTAACACTTGGTCCCCTGAACATTCAGGGAGTCCCATGGAAGGTTTTTGGTTTTGTTTTTGTTTTTAAATCGGCCACACAAGAAGAAATGAAGGAGAGCAGTCCAAGCCCCCTGAGAAATTCTTAAACAAGGCACTAATTATTTCTGCATTGCTCTTCCCAGCGCTGACTTTGCAAAGCTCTTTGCCCTGCTTTGCATTAGGCTTTCTTCCTCCTGGTTGTCACTGCAGTGCTGAAAGGTAGGCTGACTGGGATTCATTTAGCCCTTCTTACCCTGCCAGACTTCTAAAACCTCACTTCAAAAGAACTTGCAGAATCATCTCTGCTTTTGGTTTGTGTCTCTGGTTACTTCTGCTTCCTGCAGCTCGTTGATTTTTTAATGTACCATAATTGGGAATTAATCTGCGAACAGCAGCATTTGGAAAAAATTAATTGTGTGTGGAATGCTTGATAATTATATGCATGTGTTAACCATTTCTTTGCTCTTTGTCATCTCAAGGCATTGCTCACAGAGATCTGAAGCCAGAAAATATATTGTGTGAGTCTCCAGAAAAGGTAGGGATCTAATTTGAAACCTTAATAATTTATACTGATTTGAGAAAACCCACTTTGTTTATAGTAGAAATTGTTGGCAGTCTTCTTAGCCTCAGGTACCAATTCGAACTGTTTTATACCCAGTATGCAGTAGCTAGTATTCCACATACATGATCCTTAACCCTTGCCCTATATCATCAGTGTGATAAAGCCCAAGAGTTTGCAAACTCTGAGACCTTCACAGAAATCAATGTTTTCCAATCCAGTTCACCCACCTTCAGAGCACTTGATATAAGCCATAAACAGCAACTCACTCTTATTTGAAGCATGTCAGTATAAACGTGTGTTGTTGTTGTTATGTGCCGTCAAGTTGCTTGTGACTCATAGCGACTCTATGTACAACAGCCCTAAACCCTACTCTGTCCTGTGCCAATCTCACTGTCTTCGTCACACCTACTCTCATTACCCCAGACACTGAATCAATCTACCTCATAGAGGGTCTTCCTTTCCTGCACTGTCCCTCCACCTTCCCAAGCATGACATCCTTCTCTGAGGACTGATCCCCCCTTGCAACATGTCCAAAGTATGTCAGACGAAGCCTCAGAATCCTTGCCTCCAAGGAGCAGCCTGGATGTGTACATTATAAAATATGCCAAAGATGACCATTAAAAAAAAAAATCATGTTTAACATTGATTAAATGCATCTATTGTAAACTTTGCCCTAATCTACTAGTAAATGGAAATATTTGTGTTTCCATAAGAGTGTATGAATTTACCAGATTATGCATTTTTTTTAAAAAAGGAGGGTTTTAAGCACTGGTGGTCTGCCTGATCTGCATTCCTGCTTCTCTGTGTGTAGACATGTGTGTGTGCATGAGCAGTGTCTTGGATTGGATTGAACCATGGCTTATGAAAAAGAAATATTATTAGCAAACATGTGTATCACCTATTACTTACAGCTCTTTTATAGTGAATGAGAATGTGTTATTTCAAATAAGGTCTTATGCCTGCCTACCAATGTTTCTGACATAGAATTTTATTATTATTAATAGTCAGACTTAAACCCACTGCCATCAAGTTGATTCTAACTCATAATGATGTTCCACAGGTTTCTGAGGCCAAAAATCTTTAAGAGACACTGGTGAATCCAAACCACACACCTTTTAGTTAGCATCTGTTGAGTGTTTGAATTGTGCAAGTGCCTTTTTTTTTTCGCTAAGCACATTATATCATTAATAGTTATAAAATCTCATGAGGTAGATGAGGAAATCAAAGCTCATAGAGTCAAGGCTGACTCCCTACACTTAACAACCACTAGCTATCAGCAGAGGACCTTAAGCAAGTGTCTTAGCCTCGCTAAGCTTTGACTCTATGAATAACAGATTGGAACCTTGCCCTAACCTGCAGCAATCTCATGATTTCGGCCATGCCAACACCCATGTTGCAGTCACTATGTCAATCCATCTTCCCCTTTTCTACCTACTCTTTACTTTTCCCAGTATGATGTCTTTTTCTAAGGACTGGTGCCTCCTGACAAAATGCCCAGTGTATGTGGATAAAGTTTCATTGTCCTTGCTTCTAAGAAACCCCTGGTTGTATTTCCTCCAAGGATGATTGATTTGTTCTTTTGGCAGACAATGGTATATTCAGTAGTCTTCACCAACACTACAATACCAGTTCTTCAGTCTTTCTTATTCATAGTCCAAATTTTGTATTAATATGAAGCAATTGAAAATTAGTTGAGGCAGATGCTCCTTAGTCTTTAAACTGGCATCCTTGCTCTTTAGCACTTTAGAGAGGTTCTTAACAGATTTGCCAAAGCACCACATCTTTTGATTTCTTGACTGCTGCTACCATGAGTATTGACTATGTATCCAAGCAAATCATTGACAACTTCAATCTTTTCTGTCTATAATGATGTTTCCTATTGGTCCAATTGTAAGGATTTTTCTTTTTTTGATGTTGCAGTATAATCCATATTGAAAAACATAATTGGTCTTTAGTAAGTACTTCAAGTCATCTTCTCTTTCTGCAGTTTTGTGTCACCAGCTTAATTGTATTGATGAATCTTCCTCCAATCCTGATGTCACATTCTTCTTCATATAGTCCAGCTTCTCAAAGTTTTTGCTCAGCATACACATTGACTAGGTATGGAGAAAGGATTATGATCCTGACACATAGCTTTCCTGATTTCTGATTTTAAACCTTGTAGTATCTTCTTGTTCTGCAAATGACTAGAGACTAATCCTGAGCTAAGATAGCCTGACCTCACAATTTCTTGGGCCCTCTGAACTATTCTTTTGCTGTGTTCAGTGTATTTCATGTCCTTTGTTTCATTTTATATTGATGGCTCAGGCTTTTATGTTTAAGAAAACCAAAATTAAGAGAGGCCAAGTGAGAGAGAAAGGATGAGACGTTGAGACTCACTCAAGCTGCCTTGGTGGGTGTTTTTAAATGGCTGATCTTAGACTCCCAAACCATCCTTTTCATCCCTTTAACGCAACACTCACTGTGCTGCTCCCACCAGGCAGGACATTGTCATATACACAACAGAATCCTGCTGGTCAGCACCAGATGTGAATCACACCCTAATTGTTGTCTCAGACGAGCCGTCCAATTATGGTGGGTTTGGCTGTTGTGCTGACTCCACCACTTAGGATGACCACCCTTCTCAGTTTCCCAGGCCAGAAGGTGTCCAGGATCAAAGGCTTCTAGAACTTACACAAAGTCCCAGGCAAGCAAACCAGGGGAAGGTGGTGATCCTTTGCCACTTGAGGTGGCAAACTAAAGGTTTTACACAAGGTGCTCTGTGTTCCACTGAAGGAGCTACTAGGAATCTGTCTTTGAGGCATACGTATTAACTGCTCTAACTTTTAGGAAGTTGCCAGGAGAGGTTATTCCTTGGAGAGGTGGAGGGGCAGCAAAAGAGAGGAAGAGCCTCAACCACGTGGATTGACACAATGACTGCAGCAGTAGGCTAGAGTGTATTGGAGATTGTGTGGAGGGTATGGACTAGGACAGGGTTTAGGCTGGTTATTCATAGGGTTGCTGTAAGTCATGCTCAGCTTGACAGCACCCATCATCATCATCATCATCATCATCATCATCATCATCATCACCACCACCACCACCACCCCCACTACCACCACTCTAGCTTCTTTGCTGTAACCTCCACCATTGTTTGCTGCCAAGTGTTTCATAGCTTTACCACTTACTTTATATTATACTCCCAGCAGTCTAATACAGTATAATAGGGTAATAAGAATGGAATCCTTGCATAATGCAAACAATTTAAATGCACAACTACTAGGTGAAAAAAAGTCAGAGCTTTGAAAATGCTGAAATTTTTACTATTTAAAAGGGGTCGTTGTGCATCGATCAACTCTATGACAACTAACATAAACAAGGAAACAGTGTGGGAAAGAGGACACACCTTAGGATAAATCCTCAGTTGATTTCTAGTTAGCCTAAGGAGAATAAACACAACTTGGAAGAAAAAGCTTGGTTTCAAGTGTGACAGCCATACACCTATTCCCCTATGAAGTCCTGTGACCATTTCATGCCTTTTAATGTGTTATGTTTTTTCATTTTTGTTTCTGTTTTCCTCTTCAGGTGTCCCCAGTGAAGATATGTGACTTTGACTTGGGCAGTGGGGTAAAACTGAACAACTCCTGTACCCCGATAACCACTCCAGAACTAACCACTCCAGTACGTATGGCCAGGAACCCCATGACACTCTCTTCTGGGAGCCTGTACTTTTTGAGTAACCTCTGTCTCAAAGCTGTGAAGTCCAGAAAAAGGGGCTAAGAAAGGGAAAACTAGGTCTATCTATACCTTTTCCTGCTATTTGAATTGCCATTTCCTTTGTATTGGTAAAGAGCTCTAATAACATAATTCATGGTTTGTTGTACTGCTAACCAAAAGTCGATATATCTCTACTTTGGATCCACCAGAAGTTCTGAGGGAGAAATATGAGTAATGTTAAGATTCACTGCTTAGGAAACCCAATAGAGGGTCACTATGAGTTGGAATCAACTTAATGTCAGTGAGTGAGCTTGTATTGGAATGCCAGGCTCCATAGAGCTGGTGCTTAGTTGCTAATGAAACAGACATTAGAGCTTTTCTTTTTTAGTAGTAATGAAGTGATAAAGACTTGTGTCTATAGCATAGACTGAGCCTGAATTCTGCTGTGCTAAAAAACAGAGATGACTTCCTTTGATATATATGTATGGGTATAGCTTTGTGAGTCGCCTTCCCATTGCTGAAGTCATAGCACATCCTCCTTTGCTGGTGGAGGATGAGAGCTGTCCTCCTACGCAGTGAAGAGGTGCATAGTCTCACTGTAGAAAGAACTGTGAGGCTCTGGGCTCTATGCGTTAAGATTGTGTGGCTAAGTTATCTGCTGTTTTTTACTTCACATTTCACACCCAGATGGTGCTATTGGGAGCCACTTCCTGACACAGCTTTATACATACTTGATATACTATAGTTATTATGAGTCTTTGGGGATTGACATGCTTTATAAGTGAATTTCTCTAATAATCCTTTTATAAGACATTCATTAAAATATGCCTATATTGTGTCTTATTCTAAGTAAAATTAGTAGGCTTATGTTTCTAATACACTGGGCTACCAGGTTCTCAAAACCATTAACTCTAATTGCCAGTAACAAAGAAAATTTCCTTTCTTCAATTATAATCTTCCTAAGTCCGTGTGTGTGTGTGTGTGTGTGTGTGTGTGTGTGTGTGTGTGTGTGCGCGTGCTGGTAAAAATAACATGGAGGGGATGCTATTTGTTTTATTAGCAATTTTTCTGCACAGGGGTCAAAGGAAGATCTTGGTTTTCCTATTGATAAATCGTAGGGGAGATTGGTTTTCTTCTGTGAGTTCTTCAAGCTTTGATTTTCTCTTGATTCTAAAGTTTTCCTTGCTTCAAGCTAACAGGGCAGTTTAATGGGATTCCACTGAGAAATCTTTGTTTTCTTACCTTGAATATCCACAAATTTCCCTCCCAGTGTTCTTGGTACATGTAAGTACTTACACATTTAGATCTGTTTATATAGAGCTTAGGCAGGGATCTTCCTGGAGCTTATGACAATGTGTGTCCACCCGCTAGAGAAGGACCTGAAAGATATGATGGCTTGGAACAAATCATGAAGGATTGATTATAGGGACTCCATTTACAAGTATGTAATTGGCTCAGTTTTTCTCAGTGCTTTGGGAAATTCCCACCATCCCCTCTCTCTGTAACTAAGGCTCTTTCTCTCTCTCTCCTGCCTTTTGCATCTCTCCCAAACCTGGCCCCCCACAGTGTGGCTCTGCAGAATACATGGCCCCTGAGGTGGTAGAGGTCTTCACAGATGAGGCCACTTTTTACGACAAACGCTGTGACCTGTGGAGCCTGGGCGTGGTCCTCTATATCATGCTGAGTGGCTACCCCCCCTTCGTAGGTCACTGTGGAGCCGACTGCGGCTGGGACCGAGGAGAGGTCTGCAGAGTGTGCCAGGTGAGCCTCGCCCCAGAGATCCATTTATTTGGCCCTGCCGGGAGTGGAGGGTGGGGGTCTGGGTGTCAATGTGGTTGTGAGCTAATCTAGAAGTTTTATAGTATCCCTCTGCTCTCCTATTCAAGGGCAGTGATCTTAAGGGGTGGTAGAGAAAGAGAACAACAACAAGGGATTAGAGACCAAAACTAAATGCCTAAGGTAGGGGAAGAGTTCTGTCTAGCTTATTTCCCCATACTACTGATGAGCACATTGAGGCCAGCCTCACTCCTATGGCTTCTGGTATAGAGGACAGAGCACTGAACTGTGAAAAGCTGAGGGCTCAAGCCCTGGCTTGCTACTACCACTGGTGGGAGTTCACCTTTCTGGCCTTGTGTTTCTTCATCTGCCAAAATAGTTAATACACCTACCTATCAGCCTCTATTAGCTGTTAGAAAATTGACTTACATACAGAACCTCGCAGAGACAAGTGAGTGAGAAGCTGGTCAGGGCAGCCGTCCCAGCCAGGTGTCTGACAGTCATTAGCAGAAGACCATTTCTCTGCTAGTAAGCATTCCATTGTCCTCTTGAGAGGACCAAACATGTTTCCTGCATGGGCAAAGTCTATTTTCTGAAAGTATACAAGAAATGGGAAACATACTTGGGGCAGTTGAGTAGTTGGTATAGAGAGGACACCAGTCTGAGGTGAGCCCCAAACTCTAGTACAAGTACCATCTACCAAATACTTGCTTCTCTCCACTCCAGGCAAGTCATCCACTTTCTCATTGTGGGATGTGGACTCAAGAGAGCTGAAAGGAGATACAATTGTTTGTTTCAGTCAGCATTCGTGAGGCACTGGTTCTGGATCAGACCCAGTGTTAGCCAAGCTGCTGAGACACGTGAGACATGATCTCTGCCCTCAGGAAGCTCATCACTTATGCAAGGCTTCTCAGCTTCCACACTGTTGGCATTTAAGACTGAGTGACTCCTTATTTAAAGAGTCAGAGAGAAAAGAGGAAGGACCTCAACAAGAGGGATTGACGCAGTGGCTGCTACAGTGGACTTAAACATGTCCGTGATTGTGAGGCTGGTGCAGGACTGGGCAATGCTTCACTCTGTGGGAATTAGATCACTGAGCTGGAACCAACTTGAAGGCATCTAACAGCAGCATAACAACATTTCTGTTGTTGTAAGGGGCTGTACTGTGCGTTGTAGGATACTTAACCTCGTCCCTGGCCTCAACTTACTAGATGCCAGTAGTACCTCCACCAGTTATAATAATTAAAGCATCTTCAGACATTATCACACCCACCATATCATCCAAATGGAGAATTCCTGGTCTAGTTGTGAGGATTCGTAAACTTGTCATATCAATACCACAAGGTAAAGCAGAGCTAAACCACCCTCAGCCTAGCTAGGCATCAGAGGAAGATTATTAGAGACGCTACCTAAGCTTAAAGGATGTCTTAAAAGCTGCGGCAGAGTTCCCCAGGGAATCCCTGTGTGGCACAAACAGTTAGACATTGGACTTCTAACTGACAGGTTAATGATTCGGCCCACCCTGAGATGGTTTCACAGACAGGCCTGGCAATCTGCATCCAAAAAATGACAGCCGTGAAAGCCCTGTGGAACGGGGTTACTCGGCATACATAGGGGTCAGCATGAGTCAAGGGTGATTTTACAGTAAAAAAAAAACACCATATCCTCAGGGGAAGGGAAGCAGGAAATTAAAGTGGAGGTAATAGCACAAGCAAAATGTCCAAAACATAGCACAGGTAAAACGGTGCTACCACTCTAGAAGGCAGTTTGGCGCTTCCTCAAAAAGCTGAACATAGAAATTCCATATGACACAGCTATCCCAGCTATATCCCGAGAGATTGAAAACTGAGGCACAAATGGAATCTTGCTCATAGCAGCATTACTCACCATCGCAAGACTATGGAAACGTCCAAGTGTCTAACTGCAATCGAATGGATTGAGAAATTATGGTACATTCACACAATGGAGCACACAGGAGCAATGATTTTGTAAATAACTACCTAACTTAGAAGGGACTGGAGAGCGTTATACTCAGTGAACTAACTCAGACCCATAAGGACAAATATTGTATAAGACTGTTACGGTAGAACAAATACCGGATCCAAGAGGGAGAGGGGAAGAACAGAGGGCTGGGGCGGGGGCATTATCATAGGGTCACACAGTTTGATGGGAGAGAGTGAAGAAAATGGGAAAGATCCCATGTCAGAAACAATGTATACAAACTTTGTAAATAAACTAGTATAAAATAACATTTAAGAAAACAAAGACATAGAGGTAGGAAACAGCTGAGCATGTACATGGAAGAAAAGAGGAAGTGCAAGGCTGATGATGGTGGGAGGTAAAACTAGAGAAGCAGCCAGAAGCCAGTCTATGGGATTAGAGCTTTGTTCTGTGGGTAATGTCCCCACTTGTGCCCATTCAGCCCTCTTAAGTAGCATAGTCAACCAGAGGTGTTTGGTGTAGTGATGATGTAACCATGAGGTCCATTAGACCTTGGGTGATAAGATTGATAAGCATATCTTGTCCATATCCTGGCTACTGTGGCCTCAGAGAAATCCTCTCTCCCCAGAACAAGCTGTTTGAGAGCATCCAGGAAGGCAAGTATGAGTTTCCTGACAAGGACTGGGCTCATATCTCCATTGAGGCCAAAGACCTCATCTCCAAGCTCCTAGTTCGAGATGCCAAGCAGAGACTCAGCGCTGCCCAAGTTCTTCAGCACCCATGGGTGCAAGGGGTGAGTGACTCCAATTATTGGGGCATTCTACCTCCTCAGGCCTTCATTATGGCCATGAGGAAGCTCTCATAGCAGCAGGTACTAACACTAAACCAAATGACTGACAGTTATACAGCATGCAGAGTCCATTGACTACGAACTTTGTCCCAGAGTGAGCCCCTTTCCCAGATCAGAAACCAAGCCCCTAGTTGGAGTTCACAGAAACCTTTAGGGTTTTGACACACATTCCACTGTTGGCAAAGATACCCTGCCTCCAGCCTTGGAAATAGCTTGACATCATCATTAGAGACCTGTAGTACTGTCGTCTTATACATGAATGTCATTGGCTAGCAGCACTCAAAACCAAGACCTCACTGCCCTGCATGCTGTGTGAGTGCAGTGAGGGCAAATAAGTTGTCCTCGTGGTCTTGGGTGTCTAGGTGACGCTGATCTGAAACACACCTGGTGGTATTTTCTACAATCTTCACCAGACCCATTTTCTTTAAATTTTCCATGTTTAGTCATGATTCTTAACTCCTGACCCTTCATGGAGTCTGTCAGGCCCGCCTGCGAGTGACTGTGTCTTTGGTCTGCGAGGTCCCATTCAGTCTCAGTGACCTTACCAGTGCAAGAAGACAGAGGTGCCAACCACATGTTACAGGAACCTAACCCAAGGCACAGAGTCTAAGCTCATTTCCAGCCACCCAAGAGCAGTGGGCACGTGCTAGGTACAAGCAGAACTGGGATGAGTAAGACTCAACGCATGTTGTCATGTTCGGGTATGGAGAGACAGATAAGAACAGTTGACAGGACAACGTGATGAATACTTATCAAAAGTGCTGGAGACACAAAATGAACAGGAATCTGGCTCTGCTTGGAGCTGGGGTAGGGAGGTGGCGGGGAAAGTAACCCAGGAGCTGGATTTTGGAGGATGATCAGGACTTTGCCAGACAGAGCCGATCCAGGCACTTCATAAAGGGGAGACTGTGTTGTGTGCTGTACTTCAGATCACACTTTTCTTGCTCTCTCTTTGAAAGGCCTTACCCTGCCGGCAAACATCCATCGCTAAGTCCCTGGACTGAAAGCCTGTAGCAGCCTCCCCATTCTGTGTTGGCTTGGGTGGGGGCAGCTCTTAGGAAGAGGGGGCAATACTTACCCACACATCTGTGCTTCCCATTCTAGCAAGCTCCAGAAAAAGGACTCCCCACACCGCAAGTCCTCCAGAGGTAAATGCTGCAACTGCACCATGCCCTTCTTTCCTGGCCTCAACTTTCCCCTCAGACTCTCAGATACGATGGTGGTAGGGATCCTCCTCAAGGAGTGCTGAGACCTGCCATCTTCCCACACCTCCTACTGTGTATCTGCCGCCCTCTTGCCTTTTCTCCACCAGGATGATTCCCCCTGCCCTCCAATCCTTCAAGCCCCTACTTGCCCTGTATTCAATAAAAATACTTGTTTTGCACATCCACATGAATCCACAAAATTAAGCTTACTAAAGCTAGAAATCATCCCTTACAGCACCCAGACACAGACCTTGTTGTTTTTGTGTACCATGGAGTTGGAACCGACCCATAGCTGACCCTCTAGTTTTCAGAGGCAGTTAATTGCACTGAAGGAGATTGCCCAGCATTCTTCCATGGAGCAGCTAGTGGATTTGAGCTGTGTGCCTTCGGGATTGCAGTGCAGCATTTTACCACTAGGCCACCAAAGGTCTCTTACCTCTAAGTAGAAATCATTGTTTACAGACCAGACACAGATCTTACTTACAGGTTATTCACATCTTGGTCTGCTCTTGCTGCCACAGACTGTTCAAAGTAAGACATGGCAAGCACTTTAAGGCTATGAGATCAGTTAGTGGCACATTGACAGAATGTACAGTAATGCCACTTGGTACCAAATATTTATGCCATAACAGACATGGTACTAAGAGCTTTGCATACATTATATCCATGATCCTTGTGATAAATTTGAAAAAGAGGTACTGCTATTATCCCCACTTTATTGATGAAAGTAGGAATAAAATAAATAAAATTCTTCACCCAAAGACAGCCTTGGGAGCTGATAGTTTTGAGCCTGGATTGTTTGGGCTCTAGAACCTTTTTAACAACTATTCCTATCGTGAGCACTGCTCTCTTCCAAGTGGCCAAGGCTAAAGAATGGTGGGAAACCCCTTTGTGAACCATCTCGTGGTCAGTTTAGGGCCTACACAGGGAAGTCTAGATCTTTATAATCTCCATCGCTTTGACCCATGATGCTCTTGCATCTTGGATTCCAACCTTATTCTCTATAGCTGTCTCCAGAGGCCCATGGTTGTTTCCAGCCTCACGTTACCTTAAAAGATGTATTCAGCAAACCCACAATACCTCTTATATATCCTGAGTTGAGTGCTGGGTACTTAGGCCTGAAAAGCAGAGCTGTTGTTCCTTCCCTGATGGGGAGCAGATCTCCACACTGAGCATGATTTGCAAGGGGTGTGGGCCTTCCTTCACGAGGGATGTGTGCAGAGGTGTGGGAGTTCAGAGGAAGAGTTTCTGAAAGAAAATGGCATTTTCCCCAGTTGACAAGTCTGGAAATATTCTGGAGGTCGAGGGGCCATTCCTAGAGGAGCCACATCAACCTCAGTGAAGTGGGATTACAAACTCAAGCAAGACATGCTTTGGAGACAGTAACCTACACCAACTCAAAAACGGGTGGAGGGGGGAGATCTGAGGGGAGCCTAGAACTGCAGCAGCTAATGGGAGTGGGCAGGATCCAGCGTGATTGACCGTAACTGAATCCTGCCTCCCTCTCCCTTGCCCTGGCAGGAATAGCAGCACCATGGACCTAACACTCTTCGCCGCAGAGGCCATTGCCCTGAACCGCCAGCTGTCTCAGCACGAGGAGAATGAGAACCAGCTGACAGAAGAGTCCAAAGCCCTAGCTGAGAACCTCTGCTCTGTGAAGCTTTCCCCTCCCTCCAAGTCACGCTTGGCCCGTCGGCGAGCCCTGACCCAGGCAGGCCGAAGTGCAGGCAGTGGACCTTGCCCACCACCCACAGCACTCTGATCTGCAATTACCCCTTCTGGCTACCCCAGGTATCATCCCAGGAAAGCTGTGAAGTCAGACTCTGCAGAACACTCCACAAAGTCCTTCTGCTCCACAAAGGCCCTGAGGTTCCCACCCAGCTCCCCCTCCACACACCGCCTCCCCCCCCAGTCCCTGGGGTCCTCAAGGAAAAAGCTTTTTCCAAAGGGGTTGTCATTGAAAAGGAAAGCAATCACTTGTCACTTTGCATAATCGCCGGTGGCGGTGGGGCGTCTCTCTCTCCACCAGGCTCCTGCCCACCTGCTCACCGCCTGCAGATCCAGAATGCTCTCACGTGCTCTCCCAGCAGCTGGGGCTGCATCCTTCAGGGAGCCAGCTTTGAGAAGCTTCAGTTGACAGAGGCTGCCAATGTGTGCCTCTCCCCTCTGCACTGTCAGGCTTCTCTGGCTGTCCTTACCGCCTTCCTCTGTCCTCTGGATGGACGTCCTGATTGCCCGTCTTGTCCCTTGACTGAGCAGAGCCATCCTCCCAAGGCAGGAAAGGACAGTGAGTCTTCTGCATTAGGGAGGGCAGAGCAGTCTTCCAGTCTGTAGCACAGAGAAGCACATAATCTTTCTTTGCCGTGACCAAAATGTGTCCCTCATTTATCATCCTCTTCTTGTTTGTGATTGCTGCTAAAGTCATTTATTTCATTTTTTAAAAGCAGGGGGTGGAGAGAGTTGTATTTTTTAAACTGCTCTTCTAGCAAAGATGGGCTTTTAATTCCGACTTCCAGAGTGTGTAATGGCATTTCTTCCCCAAATGTCCATGCATTTGGGTTTTAATCAACTTTTTCTTATTGTTCTGGTTTTGAGCTGTTACTGTCAGACAACTGAGAGACAATCCCAGTGTCAATAGCAGTGGCAGAGTCCCTGCCACTGTGTGAGGGATTGTATGCAAATGGTACAGGTCTTTGTAGTTTAATGAGGCTGGGAGTCTGGAGTCAAGCAGAAACTGGCCAGTGACAGGTACCCACTGCCCTGGTCTGAGTGCCTTGCCTACTCCCAGAGAACTTGAAGGCTAAGCTATTATTAGATAAGCTGAGCTCTTGAGTTATAAAAAGTAAATAGATTTGCACATATCCGACAGACATTTATATTTCTGTCACACAATAGTGCTGTTGTACATTGTGCACATTTTAATAAAACTTTCAATTCCAGCAGTAGTTGTCCTTTCTTCATCTGTGGTCCTGAGGAGAAGATGGGCCTTTGAGACTGAGGCTGAGTCCTGCCAGGTGGGAGAAGACACTCCTTATAAGGACCTATAAAATAGCATTTCATTTGATCCACAAGCAGGTTGGAGAATATAGCATTGCTTTGCTTTTTTAAAAGTCAAGTTAAATTCCTCAAAAAGCAATCATTTTCTACTCTGCTCCATGACCCAGAGATGAGGCAGAAGCAGCCTCTGTTTTCCAAGATGTCCCCATCAACTGGAAGCAATGTTATCAGAACCATCTCACCACAACATTAAAAAACTCTTTAGTATATGTACAAATAAGTAGCCTGGCCCATCCACTCCAAGGAGGAGCAAATGTGTCAGCTATCTGAAAGCACTTCTGACCTTTGATTGAGGACTTGATGTGTACCCAGGATTGCTTATCCTGCCAGAGTTTGCAACAAAGAAAAATGGTACCACATCCACAGCCCTCATGTACATCATGTAAAAGAATGTTCCTGTACCTTGACCCATGTAATCCTCAGAACAAGAATGGCAAGGTGGGGCTGGATTGGGAAGGGCCTTTTAATAATCCCAGAAAAGTGTCAAAAATAGGTCTAAGTGTCAAGGTGCTAATTGGCAGCTCTTCTTACTCAGGAAAGAAGAGAGGAGAGATGAGGTTAGAGGCTTTTCAGTCTGAAGGTAGGAGATGGGCCAGGTCTGCCAACTTTTTACATTGGAATGCCTCCAGATTAAAAACATGCATTTTGCTAATGGTCTTGATTCACAATAAGGTTTTCTTGCCTCCCCATGCACTGAGAGTGGGATTATCTAGAAAAGCAGGCTCTTTGCCTCATCTCCTAGCTCCTAAGAGACCAGAACCATAAACTTCTGGGGACTTTATACTATTTAATATGAAAAGGGAGTTCTGGTGGCTGAGTGGTAAAGAGGTGCACTACCAACCCAGAGGCATGCAGCTCAAATCTCCATGGGAGAAAGATGAGAGTCTCCTCCTGTGTGATATACAGACTCTGAAAACCTGCTGGAGAGTCAGCGATGAATCATTTCTGATGCAACAACACATAACAATATTAAAAAGCAAACACAGAAAGGAAAAATAGCCTGCCCAAGACAGTACAGATAGGGATGGTGTAACTAGAATTCTTGACCAAGTCGAGGGTAACCCCAGAGCCACACTACCTAGGCCAAATCCAGCAACACCACTCATTGTTTGTTGGCCACCAAAGCTGTGATTTTTAAAGAAGTCACAGTGTTCTTTATAAATTAGGTTAGTAATACCTAACATGATGATGTTGTGATGATGTTGTTAGGTGCCGTCAAGCTGACTACATTTCATAGCAAATTTACAAACAGACTTAAACCTTGCCCTACCCTGCGTCATCTCCATGATCTCTGCAATGTTCAAGCTCGTCGTTGTCACTTTGTCACTCATCTCACTGAGGGTCTTCCTGCCTTTCACTCACTCTCCACTTTTCCCAGCATGATATCTTTTTTCCAAGAACTAGCCCATTCTGGCAGTATGCTCAAAGTATGTGAGACAAAGCTCATCCTTGCCTCTGAGGAGCACTCGAGTTGCACTTCCTCCAACTACAGATTAGTTTGTTCTATTGACAATCCATAGATATTTCATACTCCTGAAATTCTTTTTTTTTTAATTTATTTTTATTTTTTTACTCCTCAAATTCTTAAGTCTGTCTTATTCACTACCTCACTTTCAGATATATAGGAAGAAATTGAAAATACTAAGGCTTTAATCAGGTACACCTTAGTCTTTAAACTGATATCCTTGCCCTTTAGCACTTTAAAGAGGTCCTTGATGGCAGATTTCCCCATTGCAACATATCTCTTGATTTCTTAACTACTGCTACCATGGATGCTGATTATAGAACCAAGTAAAATGAAATAGTTCACAACTTTAGTCTTTTCTCCATATATCATGTTGATGTGTATTGACCCAGTGGTAAGGATTTTTGTTTTCTTGATGTTGAGGTGTAATCTATGTTGAAGGCTGTATTCTTTGATCATCTTCAATAAATGCTTTTAAAGTAAAGTCTTTTTTTAGATTCTACAAGCAATATTGTGTCATCTGCAATAATGCAGGTTATTAATAAGTCTTCTTCAATCCTAATACCATATTCTTCTTTGTATACTTCAACTTCTCAAATTATTTTCTCCTCATACAGATTGGATGATGGATAAAGAAGAAAAGATACAAACCTGATGCACACTTCTGATTTTAACCATGGAGTGTTTCCTTGTTCCATGTGAATGACTGCTTCTTGATCTTTGTAGAGATTTCACATGAGCACAATTAAATGTTCTGGGACTCCCACTCTTCGCAATGTTATTCATAATTTGTAAGAGAGCTCTGGTGGCCTAGTGAGCTGTGCTGTCAGTCCAAAACCAAGCAGTTTGAATCCACCAGCTGCTATGCAGGAGAAAGATGGGACAGTCTCCTCCTGTGGAATTTACAGTCTGAAAACCCACTATGACTTGGTCAGCTCTAAGTTGATTCCTATTCAATGGTAATGAATGAGTGCATAGTCAAATGCCTTTATATTCTCAATAAAAACAAGCAAACTTCTTCTGGTGTTCTCTACTTTCAGCCAAGATCCATCTGACATTAGCAATGATATCCTTTATTCCATGGCCTCTTGGGAATCTAGTGTGACTTTCTGGCAGTTCCCTGTCTAGTCATTTTTTTTAATAATCTTCAGGTAGATTTTATTTGCATGTGATGTTGATTGTTCCATAATTTGTACATTCTGTTGGATCATCTCTTTTTTTGTTTGTTTTTTAACAGCATTTATGACTCCTTGAATTAATTGCAGGTAGCTGTCTGCCAAATTTGTTGGCATAGATTGGTGAGCATGTTCAGGATTTCGTCTATTAAAACATGCCAATTGGTATTTCATCAATCACTGGGGCCTTATTTTTTGCCAATGCCTTTAGTGCAGCTTGGACTTCTTCCTTCAGTACTCTTGGTTCTTGATCATACTCAGTGTTGACCAGTTCTTAGTTATTCTGTGTATTCCTCTTATTTTCCTTTGGTTCTACCTGCACCATTCAAGATTTTGCCTGTAGAATCTCAGTATTGCTTGGATTTGTTTTTCACTTCTTTCATATAAAGAAATGGCAAACATGTTTTCCCCTTTTTGTTTTCTAACTCCAGCCCTTTAGTTGTTCCATTATAATTATTTGTTTTGTCTTCTCAACGAGCCCTTTGGAATCATATGTAAATCTCTCTAAAGCATGCCCCCCCCACTGTCACCTCCCCCCAATTCTAGTGCAAGATTTGGAGTCTCTCCTTATATCTGTTTTAGTCTTTTCTTTCTTCCCTGATTTTGTACTTTGTAGTGACCTTTTGCTATTCTTCATGGATGGTGTCCTTGGTGGCAGTCCCTGACTCGTCTGGTCTTCTGCCATTAGCATTGAATGCATCAATACTGTTCTTGAAAGATTGTATTTTGGTATATATTGTGGTTGTTATGTGCCGTCGAGTCATTTGCGACTCATAGCAACCCTATGTACAACAGCCCTAAACCATGCTCTATCCCGTGCCAATCTCATTGCCTCTGACACACCCATCCCAATTACCCCAGTCACTGAATCAATCCACCTCATAGAGGGTCTTCCCCTCCTGCGCTGTCCCTCTACTCTACCCAG